TCCAGTGCATGGTAACAGGTCAGTATCTCCAGTGCATAGTAACAGGTTAGTGTCTCCAGTGCATAGTAACAGGTCAGTGTCTCCAGTGCATAGTAACAGGTGAGTGTCTCCAGTGCATAGTAACAGGTCAGTATCTCCAGTGCATAGTAACAGGTCAGTATCTCCAGTGCATAGTAACAGGTGAGTGTCTCCAGTGCATAATAACAGGTCAGTATCTAAAGTGCATAGTCACAAGTCAGTGTCTCCAGTGCATGGTGACAAAACACAGATGCAAATCATATAGAGCAGGAAGCCAGCAATGTGGATTGAGGCCATTAGTTGGAGATCCCTCCTCTGTTTGACATTTCCAGAATGGTGACCTGCCCCTTGTTGTGTTGGGAAACTGGAGACTCATTGGAAAATGTCAGTTGACCCCCATTAGCGATCTTTTACAGGGCTTTTCAGGAGTTTAACTGACTGTCCACATCACCTAAAAGAAGAGGTTAGGCAGTTTTTTTAATCATTTAATTAACAAAAGGGAATGCAAATATCATGCCACAAACCCCTTTCCAAGCCCCCTCACACATGTGAAGTATAAACTAGGTTACTGAGCTACTGAATTGTGACTGAGAGAGAAAATGCTGCTGGTTTTCTTACTCTTGCTGACTCAGGGGCATTAAAAGTAAATGTACCTCCCTCATCAGAACACTGTCTCTAATCAGTACTGCGTAGAACCTTGAGTTTTAACAACTCAGCCCTGTGCTGGAGACTATACAAAACCATTAGTCCAAATGTTCTCCTTCATCCAAGAATGTATTTGTGTTATAAATGAGACTTTCTTTCATAAGATGTGAACGTTTCTAGCAAGGTCGGAAAATGTTGCCCACCCTTAAATGTACTTGAGCTTCATGGCTGCTTTAGCCTTTTCAGAGGGTTATATAGAATCAATGACATTGCTGGTGGTCTGGCATCACATGTAGCCAGATTTGATATGTTTTGATTTGATTTATTGTGGTCATGTGTACCTAAGTACAGTAAAAAGCTTTGTTTGTGAGCATTACAGGCAGATCATAGCAAACAAGGACATACAGATCATAGGGTGCTTAGACAGAGCGAGGCTACAGGTTACACTGCACAAGACGTGTGCGAAGCAAGATCAGCATTAACAAGATCAACACTATTTGAAGTGAGAGACTCCCATTTCTCAGTCTAAAAGTAGCAGGGAAGAAGCAGTTCTTGGTCCTGCTGGTGCATGTGTTCAAGCTTCTGTATCTTCTGCCTGATGGAAGAGGTTGTGGGAGAGCATTACTGGGTGGGAGCGGTCTTTGATGATGTTGACAGCCTTTCTGCAGCAATGGGAAGTGTACATGGACTCCATGGATGGGAGATTAGCTTCCGTGACGGTCTGGGCTGTGCACACAACTTTCTGTAGTTTCTTACAGCCCTGGGCAGAGCCGTTGCTGTACGGGGTGGTATCCTCTCTATGGTGTATGTGTAAAAGTTGGTGAGTGTCCTTATGGACATGCTGAATTTCCTAAGCTGCCTGAGGAAGAAGAGGTGTTGTTGTGCCTTCTTGACTGTCGCGTCTACATGAGATTAGATAGTGATGGTAGATTTCCTTCCCTGAAGGGTGTTAGACGGGTCTTTATAATAATCCATTACAGAGACTAGTTTTGTATTCCAGATCTATTAAGTGAATTTCAATTTCACTTGCTATGGGATTTGAGCCCATGTCCCAGAGCATTACTGTTATGCCATTGTCTCCTCCTTCATTAAACAGAGAGGAAGGGGTTAAATATCTTGTTATGTGTGCCTCCATTTCTTGCTTTTTTGACAAATGTTACTGATGCTAATGGATTTTCTATAGAGTGCAATTAACCGCTACTAAATATAAACCAGATGTTTGAACTCTTCTGAGCATACAGGCTTGACAGTAAAGTGAGCATCAGTCACATCATCTCACTCCTGACTTAAAGACCTCAATTAGTGATCAATGATTCTTCGTGTTGAACTGGGCATGAGCTGTAATTACTTCAACCCCTCCCCCTCTATAACATCTGCACAGTAGTAAGCACAATACCCTTCATGAAGTGTTTATGTAGCGATATTCTCAGTTTCTCTGCTGTTTGTTGTCTCTTCATTTGTGTTTATCTACAAGGTAAATTATATTTCAACATCAGAAAATTATGTGAGTTTATTTTTATTTATTCCTTCATGCGATGCAGGCATCACTGACTAGGCCAGTATTTATTGCCCATCCCTAATTGCACTTGAGAGAGTGGTGGTGAACTGCCCTTTTGAATTGCTACAGCTCTTGGTTGTCGGGACACCCACTATGCTGCAAAGGAGAGAGTTCCAGGATTTTGGCCCAGCAAAACTGAAGGAACAGCAATGTATCCCCAAGTCAGGATGGTGAATGGCTTGGTGGGGAATTTGCAGATGATGGTGTTCCCATGTATCTGCTGCTCTTGTCCTTCAGGTAGAGGTCACAAGTTTGAAAGTTACTGTCAAAGGAGCCTTGGTGATTTACTGTAGTCGTGGTACGCACTGCTGTTATGATGCATCAGTTTTGGAGGGAGTATATGTTGAAGGTGGTGGATGGGGTGCCAATCAAGCAACCCTTTATCTGGAAATGTTTTGACGTTCTTGAGTGTTGTTGGAGCTGCACCCATCCAGGCAAGTGGGAAGTATTCCATCACACTCCTGACTTGTGGCTTGTAGATGGTGGACAATATTTGGGGA